ATGCTAAAGTAATTCGCTCAACTTTCTGGATTTCGGCTGTGATGTTCATCCGTCTTGCTGTCCCAAACTCAGTATTTTTTCAAGTTGAGTGCACTCTTCATCCGACTCACTACTGAACGTAACAGGTTCGATTTCGCTCATGAACAATGTTCTTTATGCCAGCTTCATCTTGAAGAATGATCCTAGAGTTTGGGCAGCAAATGAGGCATACGCGTTCCTCATCGATTAATTTGCGTCGTCATTCTCAGTTCACAGAACGCGGTCATTTGGGGGTAGTTCAACTACAATTTTTCGGCACCTAGCTGCTGTTCCATCCGAAGGAAGCACGAGGGTTGATAAACTGTCAGATTGCCCAGGTCTAGACAAGAGCAGTCGAGATGCCGAGTTGGGTTCGAACCACGGACCTTGCGGTCAGTAAATTTGCGCCCTAGTCGTCGAGCTATCTCGGGCTCGATAGCAGTGAATCCCGTAGGATTCTCTACCTGAACCACGGATTAACAACTCTCGCGTATCGACTGGACAACTGTTGATGCGATCAGCCTCCCAGATTTGAACACACTTATTCGTCCCTGTGTTTGGCAGGAGACAGAAATGTTGACTAATGGGTGCCGATGTTCTTCATGAGTTCAGTTCCTTTCTGGATTATGCTACTGTGCTGGAGTGTGGGCACTTTGGGTGTTGTGGTAGATCAGCGCTAGACTCCTCTCCCATTTTCTTTATTGAAATCAAATTATCGGTTGTGTACCAATAGAACAGTGCTCCACGGTGGTGCTGCTTCTATTGATGATGATAATCATCATCATCAAAGACGGTAACATCGATGCTTCACTGCTGTACAGCCATAAGGTTCGTCTAATTATATCCAGAGCGAAAGAGTGGGTGAGGGAGGGGACCTCGTGCTGGTCAATGTCAAGCGTGCTGAGGTGCTTAAACCTCCAAGCGCTCAATCAGACAATCTGGAAAGAAAATGACAGTAGGGACGCTAGTGGCATCGATTAGCCGCCATTTCTTGCAATGTCTCCAGCCAAGTACAGGCGAGGTGACTCAATTGGTTAGAGCACGAATTTGCTAACCGGAAGGTTCGTGGTTCGCATCCAACCTCTGCCTCTCGACTTCCCTTATCTAGGCTTGGGCAACCTGGCAGCATCCCAGCCCTCGTGCTTTCTTTGGGTGGCATGTCAGCTGGGCGCCTAAAGGGTGCCACAGCTGAGTGATTTATTATTTATCTATTTATTTTGAGTACAGGCGGGGTCACGGGGCCCCATCCTGGAAGGCGTACAACACCCAAACTCCATGATCTCTTTCACGGCCTTCTACCAAGTTATGCGTTTTCCATTTCGTCGTAGTCGCTGATGCTAGATGCTTTCCCCGATCGAAGTACCTAGCGCACAACCAAATACCCCTTTTCTACTCACCTCGTTACTACCACGCTGATGCCATCCGAAACCAGCCACGCTTCTGAGGTATCGGTGGCCAAGTACCTGAAGACGCTTCAGATCACCTGTCCGCAGAGGCCACGTCTCCCAACCATAGCCCTCACCGAAATCTGGTACACGCGATCCTCAAGATCTAGTGATATGTTTTTTTGACGCCACTAGTGACGCAAATTAGCAAAGGTGATCCGAGCCTTTGAGATTCTCGCACTGACTTCCTCAGATACATTTCCGTCGGAGTTAATACAACTGCCGAGGTATGTGAAAAATTTTCCACAACCTCTAATGGTTCTCTTTGAATTGTAAGTGATATGTTTGCCGACTGCGCCTTCTGAAGGATGACTTTTCACTTTGAAGGTGCATGCCAAAAGATTTTTCACACATCCAATGAAATTTTACTTCCTCATAGCTGTTTATTGATCCATGGTGGTGGGCGGAGGAGATTTGGTAATATTCTGTAGAAATTCCATACTATCATGATGGAATGTTTTCAATCAAGTTGCGCAGATCTGCGAACGAGCCAACGACCATCTACTCTACCCGAGGTACTAGCGTTCTCCGCAATAGCAAGCTAATAACACAATTGATCGGCCACTGGTTCAAATACAGCCCGGAAGGCCACGAGTTCGAAACTTTCTGAGTTCCATGAATATGCACAGTTGATGATTCCCAAGAAGAATGAAACAGCTGTACAGTGCTTCTGGACTTTTCAACATAGATTGGCTTTACTGGCAGGATGGAATCCTTATTGGATTTCCTCACATCACCTAGACATAGGGGTATCCAAATTACTGCCAGCGGACCGAACCTGGCGTTTCGCTCTTAGTCAACAAAAAGAATCCGTGAAATGAAATCGAGGAATTCTGATTGGTCAACGACATTACGGGGCACATGTGGTAATTACCAGTAGATGAACAATTACTGTAATACAGCGAGCGATCTGACAGAACAACTATTTGACTGGTCGGTTGGGGGGGAACACAGATTCCCTGCATCGATTGCTGTTTTGTGTCAAGTGGTTTGCCTCACCGAACCAAGGCAGTCCAGTGGTAAGTCGTATAGTACGCCCGCTGTTTTTTTTTGAGTAAGCGGTTGCCATGGTGACGGTGATGGCCTTCGCGTTTTGCATCCTATCGAATTTCAAGTGGACCTGATGCGGATAAGGTACGAACCTGCTGCATCTGACCTGAGTACAATCTGTGTGGGCTTAGTGGTCGGGTAGCAGCAACTACACTACGATCACCTGTCTCAACAAATCTCTCAGCTGCAACACCCTTCCGGTGCGTAGCTGGCATGCTAGTCGAAGAAAGCACGAGAGGTGAGATACTGCCAGGTTGCCTAAGTCTAGGGAGCAGCAGCTGAGATGCCAAGATCGGTATCGAATCACGGACCTCTCTGACCACTGAGCCACCAGCCCCGATTCATCTGTCTGGCCGCTGTGAATGACAGGGGAGGCTTGGAGCATGGCTGAACATCTGAACTGCATTCGAAACGTGTTGGCCAAACATAGGAAAAGTGTGATTGTTGCTTAAACTATTTAACATGAACCGTCAATAGCTAAGGTTATTCTGCCACAATTTTCCCTTTCGATAGCAGGCTTGAACTCTGTTTCGTACGAACATCAACTGGCAAATCAACCAGTGTGGTGTATTCACAAGGACGATCGAGAAGTAACAGTATTGGAAGAACCTAACATGAGTCCGTACACTTGGGCAAGGCGTCCATTAGCTCATTTGAAGCTGATGTTTTGAACTATTGGAACACTAACGTATCATCTGAACCTCACAAACAAATTCTCACTAGAAGATTGCTCCCAGGTTTGTCATAAAGTAAACACCAATGAGGCAGTTGGTTATATTCGATGGATGATTGAGGTAAGTAGCACATAGCTTGCGTCTTCAGTAGGCTGGTTTAGTTCGAAATACAGGCCTTTCTGTCTGGAAACAGTGCGACTAATGGTTGGCACGGTTGGGAAACTTCTAATGGATTTACCTGACTATTGCTGGAGTTAACACGTTTCCATGAAACTTCTGAATATATCGTGGGATCTATGCCAAATGCTATGCTACGAAAGAATCGACACAAACGAAATGGCATCCGGAGGAAGATCTTACCCGAACAGAATTTCATTTCTAGTTGACTTCGGTGGATACCAGTTTGAGGTGGAGAAATTGTACACTATTAGACTACCCCGGAAGGAGTTGGTAAGTTTTATTACTACATAATAGCTGAGTACTCCGTCGCACACCGGGAGGACTATACCGCCCCGAAGTACGGTTTGTGGGGTTACTTCCCTTTCAGATTAAGCTGACTCTCTTGTTAGCCTGTTCGACCTAATTCAGTTGCATTTGCGACCTCTCTTAATGATACTTTATAGGTCTCATACAGACGTTTATTGTAATTTCTCCTTACTTGTTGATCAAATAAGAATGGAAGGCATCTTACGTGAACACAGAGTACCTACAATAAGCTGACGAGGAACAATGTGAATTTATCATCACGAAGTGTGACACAGAGACCTTCTGTGTATTAGAAAATCCAAGAATTGAAGAGAAGTGGACTTCAAGTAGAACATAAGGTTGACGGAAACCCGGAGACTGCGCCTACCTGATGAGCCCCAAGAAGGGCGAAACCGGTCGTGGGCTGTCGATGGATTTTCAGCAACCTTATGAGTAGTACATTACAAATATACAGAAGTGGACTTCAATTAATAGAAGATGTAGCTGGTGTCCTGGAGTGTCTTGTGGATAACACTTTGATTTTAGCAAAATACACTCACTTGAGAACTAAGTCCGTTTTTCGAGAGACTCACCTGGAACCCAGCTGAATCTCTCGTTTATGATGTTTACAGGCAACTGAATATGCTGCACCAGGCCGCCTCATGTTTCAGTCGCTGCGATACATGTATATTTGTAACGCATTACTCATAAGGTCGCTCTCAACGAACTTTCAGCAACCTGACGAGTAATGCATAACAAATGAAGCTATTTGTTTTCTGTGACTGAAACCGCACTAAATGAGAGCTAATCGCACTGATGCTTAGTTGATTGTGGCTGAACCGTTAAGAGAGCAACCACTGGCGTGAATATCACAGGTTCGAAACTCTCTGAGTTTTGTGGGATGCATACTAGTGATTATTCCTAATAAGGATGAAACAGCCGTACAGTGCTTTTCGACTTTTCAGCATAGAATGACTTCACTGACGGGACGAAGTTTCAATTGAAAATTACTAACTCTCATCACAGTACAGTCAAACAGTGAATTTGCTCATCTACATTTCTAACAAAAATGCAACGTAGTATACGGTGCACCTGTCACCCAAAAGCACCATTCAGCAGACGGTGTGATTGCATGTATCCTCATGCACATTGACCATACGCATACGTACGTTAATAGCTTGGCAATTTGATTTGCAAATTAGTCAGTGATACATGACAAAAGAAAGTGGATGATGCATTCTGATCACCCTCAGTCATTGTCTAGCTTTTTTTATTCTAACAAGTTAGAAATACGCTTTAGCTGGCCCTAGTTCACCTGTGTAATGTCAGTTGGTCAAAGTGCAACCACCTGCGCATATTGTGCACAAATCGGTCTTCTTGGGTCTCGTGTGGTAGGCCCAGACCGGAACTTCCGTCAAGCTTATTTTGTGTTTGAACGTCAGACTGACAAAACTTCAATTGAACATAAAATTGATGTTGACGGGTACCAAACTCAAGTTTGTTCGAATCCATCTTTTTGTGATATGCTTCAAGGAAAAAACTGAGGGTGACCTTTCGTGAGCTATCATTGACCATTTGAGTAGTTTGGTATGGAGGAACGTGGTTGGATCTCGTCGATGACGTGCCCAGTGGAATCTGAGGTGGTCTTTGTGCTGCAATACATTGGAGAATATTATAAACTAGGGATTCAATTGGATTGCGACTGATGAAAGCTGGTCACTACCTTATTATTATAATTTATTTTATGTTTGTCGCTATTTTTATTACTCATTATTATTAGTAGTAGTAGCGGTATCTGTGCCATATAGTTGAGATGCGTGTACTGTTCTTTCACAGTCAATCATTTTTCGCTGGTGGTTATCGTGAGCGAATCCCCGGCAGCTTTCTGTATGCTAGTTCCATGAACAATCAAGGCTGCCAAAAGTCCAATATCCCCATCAGTTTCAAAACACTTCATCGAAGAGAGTACAATCTATACAAACGATTGTGATGACGGTATCTTGAAAATTAGACAAATCTGTCAGTTGAAAGTGCTGTTGAATTCGACAATCAAAATCAGCATATAGAAAAATATTTCATAACTGAAAGTCATAGTGCATTCGACGATATGGCGGTGGAGAAGAGGGATATAGCGGTATTATGTCGGATGGAAAATCAAGGCTTTGTCGCTCACTTCAAATGCTGCGCTGTTTGGCGAAGTCGCGATTGCCCTGAGGGCGCTTGTGTTGAGGTATCTAGTGTTTATTTCCATGCAGTAACGCCGGTGCATTTTCGGATATGGAGGTTGAAAGACATGACCAAAGCTTGCAGTTTGCTTGCTCCGCTAGGTTTGCAGTTACTGCTTACGTTTAACATCCCCTAGGTGAAACAGCGGGGATCCAACCACGAGCTCCATTAATGATGTGTTACGTCATAAGTGACAAGTTATTGAGCCAAACAGTCGGTACTTCAGCTGACGGAATAAGGCCGGTTGTGACTGTTTTCACTTTGGAAACGCGTGGTTTCCTTGATCGCCCCGTTTTCTCCCTGGAGTGTACCTTTGCATGGCGGTTCCTTTCGTCAGAACGGGCGAATCGTCGATCACAATACCAACAAGGGTATGGTCGTTCTCCGGTGTGCGTGCGCCGATGTGTCATCAGGTGGTCACTACGAGTAAATCCTTTCTGACAAATATCACACACAAACTGCTTCACATCGCTGTGTGTTCTTTGATGACGTTTCAACTCATCAACTCTTGCAAACCGCTTGATACAATTGGGGAATTCGCAAAGGAACGCCTTCTCTAAAACCTTTGCGCATTTGAGTGACTTTGTACCGGTATTATCTTCCTTTTTGAGCTGTGAGAGCTCACACACATCGAATAGCATGCAATTGTGGATAGACGCATTAGCTTTTCCCGCAAATGTGGATGCCTCGGTAGGATTTCTGTCGCTCGGTGGTGTCGAGCTTATCACCCGCAGTTGATCAAAAGGAGTAGATTCTCTACAGGACGGTTGTTGAACCAAGTAGGATGGAGGATCTGCATTGCAAATGAGTTCTGTTGTGTTGGTGTACAGGGCTGGCGCCGAGCTGTTTGATAGTGGAGAGGAAGCGTATGGTGGGGGCAGGGAAGCACAAGTTTGCAAGGTGCAAACAGAGGTGGAATCGCTACGTAAGTCATTTTGTGTTGGAGGTGTGGTGTAAGTAGGACAGGATGGACTGTACTGTGTGGAACTGGTTATCTGTATATGTCGTGATTGGTGGTGCACCATGCATGGTTTCTGTTCCATATTTTGATAATCAGCCGGATAGCAAAAGGAGATGGGTTGTTGTTGCTGTTGTTGTTGTTGTTGTTGTTGTTGTGGGGTCAAAAGAAGCCCGTCTGTTGTGCCGAAGGTCGTTGTGTATCCCATTTCGGAGCAGGGTTCCGGCTTGCAATAATGGAGGGGCTGACGTGCTTCTGTCGCCATCGATCCGTGTGATTCTGGGAACAAAAAGCACGCGGAGTGGCGGGTTAGTATGTGGACCAAATGAAGGAAGATAAGACTATTTAAACTGTTGGTAGAGTGAGCGTTGGGCATGCCTTTAAGTCCTCAATTTTATTTTCTGAAGTTACGTTCCATGGGTTCCCAAAAACTTACTGAGTTTTTTGCGCCTTGGTTTGTGATGAATCGCTCAGGTTCCTACTTCCTTTTTCTAACTTTTTATATATCTGGTATATACGTTCGTTTCAAAGGCAAATTTCTTCAACAGCACAGTGTAAAACTTCATGTTTGACAGCTTGGCTCCGTTTGAGGGTATGTAAATCATCAACAAAAGCGACGGTTTGAACCAGAAGTGTAAGCAATAGGAAGGGTTTTCCCGAATGAACCTCATGCTCTGCATGAAACCGTATCATTCGGTTGTTCGTGAGTGGTAGTTTCTCCTTCTCCTCTGTTCCGGCTTGTCGGTCCACATTGCTGTGCAGCACATTACATTACATTACATAGGCATTCAGTTGTATGCACGTACTACGCAGTGAAAAGCGCATGTGACTCTGCTGATTGTGCGCGGAAGTCCATTGCTGTGTTTCGATGTGACAGAGCAATCGGGGAACGAACGCTAGCATCCCATTTGGTCGTTCGCAAAACGATGACCTGGCTATTCGAATACCAGCCATCATAGGCAATTCTCAACATACTCAATCATAATAAATTGGTAGGTTTATTTCGGTTTGTTTCCCATAGCGTCACATGTAGAAATGCTTGGAGCTTCAGGTCATGACAGCAGTGACACAAGAGGTATGTATTTTTGCTTATCCCCGACGAACATTATCAATATTTGTTTTAGTTTGGTGGTCTGCAGGTAGCATGGGCCCACAATCTACCTGTAGAGACATTTATCTAACAAGCACCCATTTTCCCATCATTTGCTGCTAGAGACCAGTGTTGGCGTATCTCAAACCCTAAACATACAAAAGCTCAGTTTGATCGAGTCAATACAAAAATCTCCGTTGACTGTACGCAATATGATCGCGATGCATAGGGGGTTCAATAACTGGACAACAGACGTATCCCCAACACGAATCTATCAAATGCAACTGAACAGTATTAAAGACCCGAACAAATGAGATTACGGATGTGTGGTTTAAGATAAACGAATGACCGAAAAGTGCTCAGTCCAAACAAAGCTAAAAACTGAGAACAAACGTCCGTCACAACTGTGACCATCGCCTGGCTAGCCACTCTACCAAGCGATGTGAGTGCTTCCACCTACTCTTACAGTGAACCGACTGGAAATAAAGGACATACTGTGACTGGCTTTCCCGGGACCAATCATATTTAAGGCTAATTACGTCATACGCGAGTACCGATGATTGGTTGCAATAATATGCTGACTACTCACAAGCGGTCGATCAACGGTTGCAGCGAAGCCTCAGTGTAAGCTAATTCGATGAACCAAAATCGATATATCGTAATGATGATATAGGTAAGGATTGATTCCCCACTGAATGTGTGGTGACTGGCTGAAGTCCTGTGGGCAGTTTAGTCAAAATTAATCTGCTGTCTCACCCACAGAACAATAGACTGGGCATTTCAGATCAATTCTGCAATTGTTCGCTATCATACATAGGAATACGGAACAATAATAAAAGCGAGTTTACTTTAAACCATTGTACGTAGGTATTCGTTTCTCGCAAGGTGTTCTATACCCAAGTTTCTGACTAACCTAGCTGTCGAATTAGACAACTTTCAGGTTGTGTAGACCACTCCCTCAACGTCATAGGAAATCAACAGATTGCTGTTTCTCAGGTGATAACCATTCGTTTGCACAAACCTAACCTTTATGTACAAGGCACTTTTCAAATCAAAACTGCTCTAAGTTGAAGCTAAATTGCTCACTTGAAATGCACCGTAGATGACTAATGAAGGCTTCTTTTGTTCACTTCTCTGTTTTGCCACTGGTCTTTTTCATATATTCTGCGAAGAAAAACTCAAGTGGACTACAATTAATAACTGCCCTCCCCTTCCACCGCTCTTTTTAAGCACTCTCCAAAGTACCGCTTCCACACAAACTGTGTTGTGAACGCCCGAGGACCACACACAAAAACAATCCATTTTACCACACTGTTATTCGGACGAATTTTCAGGGACACATTCGAACAGTGTCGAACCAAAAGTGTAGGACCTGCATTGCCTTTCACCTATGGCGAAATGGTTTGTAAATATTACTCATTATCTTTGTGGTATCATTTTGCTTCTAGAAATGTAAGATAGTACCATACATTGCCTACGAGAAAAGCACATTTTAAATTCACTCTGCTCAGATGCACATCCCAGAGTCGTTGCAAAACGACTCATTTACTTGTCGACATAAATATTCACAACTCTACACAACGACGACTGAACCTGGTAGGATAAATTTATTAAATGAATGCGTTTTGGGCTAAAGCTTGAAGGCTGCACATGATAATCCACTGAAGTTGGAGATACCACCCACTAGGATACTTGTTTCCTGTCCGGTCCATTTGACCTTTTAGTTCACCGAAGTTCAGCCTCGTCGATCGTGTGACATTTTCCATTTATTGTTCACTAACGACCTAGTCTTACCCACCTTCGATGAAGGACAGTGTTTGACATTGTTTGATGCGTGGGACGCGACATTGAAATCCCATACAGTCAAATTGGCAACAGGTTGCAGGAATAACTAACCGGCTGCGTTGTGCATGTCTTTACGTTTTCGCTGCGCTAGTCCCAGGGACACAAACTTTACATGCACATGAGACTCAAAAATAGGGACTAGTAAATTAAGTCAAACGCTTGGAAAAGCAACAGTCGTTCTCCGTTCATCGTCGCGGCCCTGCTCCACATGGAATAAGCCTGACGAGCGCATGACCAATAAAATGAGCGCAGTGGTGGGAGTCCTGAAAAACGAGCGACCGGGGTCCGGTAATGATGTGCCCACTGTGCCACGCATGTTAACCCTTTCTGAAACTACGCAAGAGTGTACGGCAAGTTGTGCAGCCGACGAGAACTTTGAGACTGTTCCATTTCCTCCACCCAACCAAGCGTATGTTCACCATTTCCCTATCCCCCATTGTTTTACTTTTGGCTGAAACATCCGGCTTGCGACATTTCAAAACAACTTTCGTTCATCTCGGTGTGAGTAGGCGCAAATTATTTATAGTATCCGCGATTCGTCCCTACTTGCATCCCCATGGTTGTGCTTTGCAGTTCTAGGGGCTCTTCAGGGGAAAGGTTCTTATCCCAACAGTGGCAACTGTTGATCGAAAAGGTTCCAACAGCTCACGAAATGTAGAGATGGTTATGTTCAGGTAGTCTCATCAGCAAAACTCGGCACCTGCCACCCTCAGCCCATGGAATCGTAAATTAGGCTGGAATTTTATCATCTGTTACAAACCCTACACATGTTTTGCTGAAGTCCAAAATATCACGTCGTTTTCACTGTGTCTTGAGTAACTCAATTTCCTGAATAAAATCAGCCTCTAACGTCAAAATTGTTTTATTTGTTTCGTTTTGAAATGACAGCGACAGTCATCTGTTCATTGGATTTATCCTTGCCAGTGTGAAAGTCCATCTTGAAGTCGCTTTCTCTGTTTACCAGGAACTGATCATGAAAAACGATCATAATTTGCCCAGTTCATCTCAGGATGTTCAAGCCTTTAACGTGCTTACTAGGGATCATAATTTCTTGTGCGTCGCATTTGTAAAAGCATGCAAGGTAATGTTAGTGATTTATTGATTTTGTGTACTGCTCATGGATAGTTTTCCCCCTACACGAACTAGTTTGGTCAGGGTAAGCAAGACTTGGAAGATGATAGATATCCTTCAAGAACTCCATGGAAGGGTACATCTTGTGGCGTACCGGACCAATCGACATAAGGATACCTATTCACTCTATGATTTCAGTGGTGAAAATTAGTTACTATCGATTTATATTTAACATATGTTGACTCTTTAATCAATATCCCATTAGTGGTATTTTACTCCAATGCTACATGAATAAGTTTTGATGAGCTTTTGCAAGGATATCCCCAATGAACTATCCAGGCAAGACCGACATCGTTCAAACTTTGGGCAGATTTATATTCACTAGCGAAGAACAAATATTCTAAACGATTCAACTATTCGAAACCACGGTACAGTATGAAACACTCACCGGCAGCACCAGTGTTGACGGAATAGACGAAAACTGTCTCGGTATCTGGATTTTCCAACGGGGTTGGTGTGTCTAAATTTTCCAACTTGGAAAAGTCGCGAAAAGACTCGTCGGGAGCATTGGTTGGCGTGTACCCAGTCGGAATATCGTTGAAAATATTCTTAAGGTCAATGAATCCAAGTGAAAATTTCGGTGTAATCCTTGTCATTTCCTGACTTCGTCCACCGTACCGGGAAGCTGTGAGAAAAGTAATTTTTCTGTTCATCGAGGCTGTTGACTTTATACGGTATGTATCAGCCAATTGGTATCAGCCAATTGTATTAGCACCGCCAACGCCTGCTATTTAAAGTAATAAACTAACGCCAGCCAATCGCTTAAGTCCAACTGTTCACCGAGCGAATCTCACCCCACCAGTCGCACTTGCCAATCGTTACGGCGATACGACCGATGCAACGTGGGTGTACAGCAAGCAGACGTGTAGTTCGCGATGTTTATGCTGTGACTGCTGCGGATGTGATGGGGTTTGGAAACAGCTGGTTTTTTCTTTTGTCGAAATGTATGATATTGATCGACAACGGACTGGTGACTTGGTTTTCACACGCACAGGCCATGCAAGAGCGAGTATCCGTATTTTAAACTTCTTGAACAGAATCGTCACTTATGTGCGCGTGTTCCCAATTAGGACAAGTGACATATAAACAGTCACTGTGATGATGAATCTAGTCCAAATCATTCAAACAGTTAGTCATCAGGGTGGGTGAAAAAAGTCACGCTTTGATGAACAATAAGCTTGAAGTGATAAATCATGCATTGTAGTCTATGACAGGCGTGGCAACTACCCCGCAGGTTCTATGAGTGAGCTTTTGAAAAGGCATGAGGAAGGTCAGTCATTGTCCATCGACAGTGTCTAGAATTCCTTTTAGCTCATACCAGAACAACTAAGGCCAACAATTGCATTGTGCGGGTGGAGTCGCCCGTTAAGCGCACAACCAAAAGCAGTGCATGTAGATGGCTGGAGATTTTTTTAACGTTTCTTATCCGTATCGCTTTGGTTTGAAGAGTTCAGTTGCTGCTCTACAACATTCTGGTTAGATTACATCAATATGTGGGATCACCGGACTCGATATTTGGCCTTTCAGGACAAAAGATACGTGCCTAACACTATCGGGAGCAAGTTTGTTGCTAATGCGACGCCAGTGCTGCCTGGACGTACCTGAATTGTCATATCCCAACAGGCGAATAACTTCATGCTGGTTTGCTCAGCTGCTCGAACAATGGAACGGTAGCTGTCCCTAACGCCATCAGATTGAGAAGCCTCAACTAGCCGACTAACTAGTCAAAGCAAACAGGGCATTCACCGTGTCTTCGAGGTTTCAGATCAGTAGGTCTCGGTATTCACCTTTCACAACGTTCACCCGTTTGTCTAAATCCATCAGGCCGGTGGCCTAGTAGTAGCACGCTCGCCTCCAGGTATCCGGTTTCGAACCCAGGTATGGCGAAGAATATGAACTGGTGATGAGCTCCGGCAAGACAAACTCGAATCCGGTGCTTCGTCTTTTTATTACACTAATCAAAATAATCGAGTCAACACGAGAGAAGGCAGCTGAAGACAGTGAGGCCGATAAAGATTTGTATGAATTTGAGCACATGTCTGCGGAGGAAACATTGGCATACATCCCTTGCAGTAATACTTTCATACATACTGTGCTACACTATACTATGCAGTATTACTTACATACTGTGCTATACTATACTATACTATACTATACTATACTATACTATACTATACTATACTATACTATACTATACTATACTATACTATACTATACTATACTATACTATACTATACTATACTATACTATACTATACTATACTATACTATACTATACTATACTATACTATACTATACTATACTATACTATACTATACTATACTATACTATACTATACTATACTATACTATACTATACTATACTATACTATACTATACTATACTATACTATACTATACTATACTATACTATACTATACTATACTATACTATACTATACTATACTATACTGTGCTATACTATACTATACTTCCCTATGCCATACTTCCCTCGATTCCCCAACCACTAAATAATGTCTTCAAATATCAGGTGACTGGCAGTTGGTTTCGTCGTTCAGGGGATGAAAAAACACCTGACTGATGGGTTCTCCATTCAAGATTCCTGGATTAGTTTGCTGGTTCTCGTACAAACAACGAAGAGACTACAACTTAGATCGCCTAGTTCTCGACAGGCGATTCACATCAATCGGGGTGACATCATCAGTGCATAGTCGTGAAGTGAAGCGGAGCTGTGCGTTTGTAATTGTGCTTTGATCGGTGGTGTGCCTGTGTACGTTATTCTGAAGGGGGTGACCTTCGATTTTTATTGCTTAGTCTGCTGAAAAATCTTATCGGTTGGATTTTTCATTCCTGTTCTGCCTGGCTGACCTTCAGGCGACCCGTGATTTGGAGCTTTCTGATTCGTATTTTACGGTCCATGCCGAACTGGTCTCGCGATTGATCCTGCCTTCTGAGCAATCTGTGTGATACTGGGCACTGCTTGCATTGTTCGTTTGTGTTTGTTACTTTCGCTGCAATTCACTGACCCGTCTGGATTTTGAGATCAGTCCTTCTCAAGCAAGAGCCCCCAAAAGGAGTGGTCACTTACCAAGACACCCCGTATCCAGTATCCCCTACCGTTTTTGGCTGTCGGTCAGGTGACTATTGATTTGTTCATCGAGTTTAACAATCAACTTGCGAAAGTTTCGTCACCACACGAAAAGACTTCATCAATGCGCGGTTGGATGGTGGACCCACTCGATGAATTTTGATTTTTTCCAGGTATCACAAAGAGTGATCTCAACGTTAAGTTTCTCCCCTCTGGTGCTATTTTTAAGTCATATGTCGCATGATACGTGCTTACTTCAACTAATTCTGGTTCTAACAGATGACGCATCGAGAGCTTTGGATGGCGGGATACACATTTTTGAAGATTTTTGGCACAGTCCTTGTACAGGCGACATATTCAATTTATCATTTTACGTTCACAGTCTACATAGGTTACTGTTTTTGGGATGTGAGTAAAGCCCGTACCGCAAAAGAGAATATTAGAAATGTGATCATGAGACAGAGTCAGAACCAAGAGGTAGTCAGTCTGAAATATACTTACAGAGTCCCGGAATTTATTCCAAGAAATTTTTATCGACAAGCTCGGTTGGATTAAACACAGTTAACGTTGCGGACCTCTTTTACTGGGGATTCTCAATGGGGACCCATCTTCTGTCTATACACCACATCCGGCGAAATTCAGATATACCCTTCAGCTCTCAAGACGTCTATGAGTGAGCAGATTCTAAGATCACTCGGATTTCAGTCCACTTTCACAAAATACAGCTGAAGAGTTCACAAACACATGGGTATTCATAGTCCAGTCGATTGCGTTACTGTTTTAGTGAGGATAACGAACGTTCGTTTTTCCACCTGTGTTATCTATGACAACGCCGAGGCGCTTTGATAGTCTGCGTCCTTTTGGGTCAGTGATTCAAGTTGCAGCTGTCCGATTGATTCAGCTAAAACCGATCAACCGAAAATAACTTGCCGGATCGATAACCGGGTGTTCAGTGTTTCCGGAGCCGATGCGGATTAACTGTGATAATTAAGGCAGTAAATTTTATTTTTTCTGTTTTTTACGGTAATTTGAAGTTCGAATGTGAAGCAACCAGTCGTGTTATCAAGGAGCACATATGGTATTCGTAAGCGAGCTTAGCTACCATAAGGTATTTGAGGCCGCTTAGAACGTTTTTTCATTGAAATCTGCTCTTCATTCTCTATTCTGTGTAGTTAATCAACTATCTTGAAGTTGGTAATATTTGGAGCAGAGTAATTTTATTTTAGGAGCGTGGTAAGATTGGTCAAAATTTGTCCAGAGCCCACTAACATCTTTGTTCTGTCTACCTTCAAATTTCATCTATTTGTTCTTATTTGTACTTGAAATTTTCTTCGTGGTGGATGGAGCACCAATCAATATTAAATTGATGTTACCATGGGATCCGAACGAGCCTTGAATGAGTCTCTCATCGACGGTATTCGTGGACCGGATCTCCAGCGTGTGTTTCAGTTGGATAAATAATGTGCCTTGTCCATAATCTGTTTTATGGCGAAACCGGTCATGGGCTGTCGACGAAGATTCCGCAACTTTATTAGTAGTGCACCACAAATATACTTGTTTCGCGATATTTCAAATATCGTAGCGACTGAAACATGAAGCGGCCTGGTGCAGCACATTCATTTGCCTGGAAACATCACAAAATAGAGATTCAGCTGGGTTCCAGGTGAGATGTTGGCAACCTGATTATCTGCTCGGTGCAGTGTAATAGCCATTGCTATGGCGAAACAGTTAGGATATCAGGGCACCACGAAAAACCTCTGCCGAACAACTATTTGGGCATCATATTTTGTGATACGATCAATTCGTTTCGTTAGTTTACAAATTGGAGCTATTAGGCCGGACTGTGGAAAGCATTTATGGAATAGCTGTTCGCTAAAGTTATTCCTACACCCAATCACTTATTTTCACGGATCTAGAGGATTAGCCTCCTTCGTCGCTGCTATGAGGTGATTGTTTTAGTCAATCGACTAATCTTCCGCCGCAGTAGTTGAGTGTTTCGTATATGCGGATGCACAATGGCTCAACTTTTGAGCAACCATCTAGTGGACAGGTAAAATCCGTTTTTGTTGAAGGAAACGAAATGATGAAATGGAATGAGAATGAAGCATCTAGAAAGAGACCGGTTTTAGGACCAGAAGGAGTCACAGAATACGTACTTGAGAGTGACCCTTCGCGAGTGAATTTAGCAATAGTGTCCTAGAAACATCCCGGATTTACTGCCACAATGCGATGACCATATATTTTCTTCCGGGATATGTTCAAGAGTATGATGTAACATACAGTGTGGTATGCGTCACATATGATACTCATAATAACATGTCATATAGTATGTAAAAATACTTGAATATGAGGCTCAAAGTTCGTTCTAGAGATTTTTTCTGATCCTCCACGACTAGGAATCTCCCTCGCAGCCGGATGGCCTTCTGTTTTGCCTTTTCATCGGCATAATTTCGGTGTTGGCAATCTACCTGGTCTATGTTGACAACACCTTGGTACCTCTTTACTCTCTTCGGATTGATAATCCTCGACCTAATCCACACTGAGGTGTTCGTGCGTGATTCATCAACGG